ATTTAACAAGTCTGGAACAAAACTTTTGCCTTAGCAACCGTTGTAAAGATAAATGGGAACTACTTTTATTAACACGTAGACAAAACGTTGACATTGACACAGACCAAATAGATATCAATTCAAATGCAAACTTGCGAAAGAAAACATAAATAGCTTGTGTCGTTGCTTTTGTCGTTGCTATGTCCAAAAATGTTGAAATTCACCTCGAAATGTATGTTATCCGGCGCTATTAGTCGATACGGCTTGTCACATAATTGACAGTTTATTGGATCCAGCTGTTACAGTTACTATGGCAACAACTGATTTTAACCGTAACGGACTACGTGTGCGTATATACGAAAATCTTGCACGGCAGTTAGCGTTGGAATTCTCACAGACCACGTTATAAAGTGCCATTCCCAACTCATGGAGCGCGGTAAAGTTAGCTCTGAACAGCTTCTTCCAGGTTAGCCAATGGGTGACATTAGCATAAACTATGACCACTCCTCTCTGAGATGTTTTTCAGTACAGGCCTCATTAGGACAAAGCCAGAACTAAACCAACGGACACATGGGAACGACAACGCTGTAGCATTAGCAGTAGTTAGAAGAAACACAAGACCGGTCCACTCAGACTGAGCCTCGGTCCTCTGTGACTGCACCGCGGCGCTCTGAGGCGGCTGTAATGAACTTGTCAGATCGGGAGTTTATATCTGTGTTTGTATCGGTTCTATGAGGAGGAGAGCGAGGAGAGAATGGAGTGCAGGGTGACCTCTAAAAGTGCATTTATTTGTGACGGACTCATTTGAAGCGCATGGCCCCGTGACAAGTTTTCAATGAAGCCAGCTCCGAGCCCCGGTGTATTACAGAAAACAACAGGCCAGACTCTCGACCTGCGCAGCAAAGATTCTGTAGGAGAAGATCATTTAAAAGACAATACGGTCGAGATCATTGTTCGATTCTTGATCTATACTGTTTTAAAAGACACATCCTGTATTGTGCAAAGCTTTTAACAATGATAGAGTTTACAAAAAAAGTGGTTTGAGCTGCATCTACACAATCTGGAACCTCTACCACTCACCCATCCCCCCCATCCTTCTGTCTAAATGCTAATAGTTCAAACTTGGCATGTTGAATCCTCACAATGTTAAGTAACAATCTTCCTGAAAATGTGAGACAGGCTTCTTCTACAATGTTTAAAACCAGGTTAAAACAGTTCTGTTTAGCTGTGCAAACAACTGAGGGATTTTATGTTTTTATCTTTCTTTATAATGTACTGTGATTATTTATGATTTTAATGCTATATTATTTTGTTCAGCACTTTGAGTTTTTTAATCAGAATCAGAATCATTTTTATTGCCACGTAAGTAACAGGAAGTCACAGACTTGGAAATTGCTTTGGCTCAGTGCAACAGTCAGAGAGAGAGAATAAAAAATAAAGAATAAAAAACACTTCTAAGGAATAAATTTAAATTTAAAATAGAGTTACAGTTACTATTTACAATATACAAGTGCACATGGTGCACACAATGTAAGGTGACAGCAGTACAGTGAAGTAAAGTGACGTATGATGGGCAGTAAAGTGACTTTATAAAGGGCGGGGGGACAGGTTAAGAAGTGTTCAAGAGTCCAACAGCAGAGGGGAAGAAACTGTTCTTGTGGCGGGAGGTTCTAGTCCTGATGGACCGCAGCCTCCTGCCTGAGGGGAGTGGTTGGAATAGTCCATGTGCAGGGTGAGAGGGGTCGGCTGTGATACGACCAGCCCGGCCTCGAGTTGCCTTGTGTATGAATTGTGCTATGAATATAACTTGCCTTGCCTCAATTTTGACTTGGAGTTATAAATTACAATGTGCTGGATTTAGATCTAATTGAAAACTTGCACTTTGTAAAGTAAGTCATTTGATATTATTTTACAGCAAAACTTTCGTTTCAAAAGGCAGAAAACAGAGCGGTCTATGATATTACAGTAAGTATATTTATTTGTATACTAATTTGTATTGTGCATTTTACAGAGGATCATACAAAGAGCTTTACAGGTGATGATGCGGTATTGAGGCATTATGTTAAACCATAAAGTACAGGCAGAAGGGGATTCACATTCAGAAAACTACTTATCCCAAATGGGGAATTCAATTGTAGTTATGCAGCCACTCTCACACAACAGTAAAAAAATATGTATATAAAAGTTACAATAATCAAGTAATCACAATAATAAAACATCCGTCAATGATTAGGTCGATCAAAGACAAAGGAGGAAGTGAACATTTTAGAAAGAGCGCCATTTTAGTTTAGAAGCATAATGGCAGAAAGATCAACAGACTGACTGTGTTCTGGCACCAAGGAGAGTTTAAGAATATGTCCTGTTTGGCTCTTGATTGGTTTGACCTTCTTCTCCCTGTTTCCTCCAGACTGAGCTCAAGTCCCTCGGTGGACCTCCAATAATTGTGGAGCAAATCTTGAAAATATTGTTCAGTTGTTATTTTTCATTGTTTTGTGGTTGGAAAAGTGGGGGCGGGTCCCGGCTCAAAAGTGGCCAAAATGACGGGCGCTGTCATGCTTGCAATACCACCCCGGGCCGATGGGGGGGACCCAGAATGAGAATTAGCCAATGCTAACATATAGCATTGGCAGACCTCTCAAAAACGTCTTTACAGGATGGACCTAAAGTTGGCTCTTGGCCCAAAGCTCCGTTCCACATGTGTGTCAATGCTGAGGGGGGTGGATTGTTTTGGACCACTCTAGTTTACTTGCTGTGAATTTTGAAACTACCCATGGAGCACACAAGTTTTGGCACATTAGTTAGAACGGCGGAGATAGGCGTGACTATGTCTGTTAATATTTACAGTCTGTGGGTTGGAACTAAAAACAACTCTTGTCTTTGTTTTTGTAAATCAAAAAAAAAAAAAGCATTATTCTTGTCTTTATAAACAAGATATTGACTAGTGGCCATAGCTGTACAGGTGAAAGCCAGATCCTGTGAGACATTTGAATCTAAGCAGGGCAGGGCATGGTCAGCACTGTGATGGGAGACCTCTGAGAACACCAGGTGCTACAGTGCTTCATCCACATTGCCTAGAATGAGTCTGGTGTGAATGGTTGGTGGTGGTTGGAGGATCAATGGCTGTTTTTTTGTTACATCCCTGACCCTATAGTAGAGCTGGGTCGTAATAAAAATTGGGGGATCGTAACAGTGTGCCCCAGGGCGGCTGTGGCTAAAGTAGTAGTTTATCACCAATGTGTATGTAGGAATGAATAATGACATATGAAGCATGTTTGAGTGTCCAAAAACCTGATGCATTATCATTTTTATCATTATTATCATTAACTTTGTTTCAGTGAAATGATTCCTGTCTGTCACTTTGTTCTGTTTCTGTTTCTCGCTGAATAAACGCAGTGGGACCGGAGCAGCGCAGCTCTCTGATTGAATATTGGATCTTTGGATTGGTCCGGACTATTTTGGAGAGCTCCATTAGCGTGTCCACTGCCCTGGGACCGTCCCGCGGATAACCTGCTCTTTGATTAGAGACCGTTTTTAGAGCCACCTGAGGAAATGGGCCACACACACCCCCAAGTACTGCTCACAAATACTACAACTACTACAACTACTACTACATGTACTACACAGGATTAGGGACCTCGGACAGCGGTACTAACCACGTCACTCATTTTGGATTTCAATACGCTGCGCCAGGGTCTGATTTATTCTATTACTTTGCTTTCAATCAATTTTATTTTTAGCACTAACTGTGTGTCTTCTTGAAAGTGTGTTGCCAAAAGGTACACACACAATCATTGCATGTTGAGAGATGTGGAAGTTTTGGAGGTGTGAATAACAGAGCAAAAGTGCACTAATGTGTCTCCTTGAGAATGGAGCGTCAGACGGAGCAGGTGGTGCCCAACGAGCCCCCATACAGGCCTAAACCCAAGGACACACACACACACGTAAGCACACACAAATGCACACACACTCACACACACACACACAGTCACGCACTAACGTAAATGGAGGCTTTTGTCCCCAAACTTGTGCGATCACTCTGGGGGGGGTCAATTAATGGATCGTTAATTGATAATTACATGTTATTTTAATTCATCTTTGCAGTAAATAGAAACATGCACACACACACATACACACACTGACACACACACAGGTCTGAGCCAGTTCCGAAACAAGTCTAAACCATGTCTGAACCCGATCTAAACTAGGTCTAAACTAGGTCTGAACCATAGACTGTATATAATAACGGACGTAGTCACGCCTATCTCCGCCGTTCTAACTAATGTGCCACAATTTGGGCTCTCATGGAGTGATTAAAAATGGATCTGTGCATGCGTCAGCCGGCACGAGTTCCATTCATTCAAACGAGTGACTTCAAAAATTCACAGCGACTAAACTAGACTGGTCCAAAAAAAATCTCTGTGGAACGGAGCTTTGGTCCAAAAGCCAACTTTTGGAGCATCCTGTGTTGACGTTTTTGAGAGGTCAGAAGATACGTACATTAGCAGTGGCTAATTCTCATTTAGGGTCCACCCCCCTCTGCTCGGGGTGGTATAAGCATGTCAGTGCATGTCATTTTTGGCCACTTTTGAGCCGGGACCGACCCCCACTGGTCTGAACCAGGTCTAAACCATGTCTGAACCCAGTCTAAACTAGGTCTGAACCAGGTCTGGACCAGGTCTGAACCAGGTCTGAACCAGGTCTGAACCAGGTCTAAGCCAGCCACAGACACACACACAAACAAATGCATACAAGCCCACAGACACACACACACTTGCACACGCGCACGCACATGACATGAAAGCCAATTACAAACTATATGAATAAGGATAAGAAAGTACCTAACAACACACATAGATACACACATATCTATACGTACGGATTTGCACAGGAAATAATCAAATTGTGTAAAAAAAAAAAAATTGGGTCTCCCTGATCATAGCGTATTAGGATTGAGACAGAAGGGGCGGGGGGACGTGTTTGCCCAGCATGGATGGAGCTGAACACAACTGCAGGTCTGTCTGATGAGGCCAGTCCTGAGTGCAGGGGACTCGTGTTTTGCCGTCTCTCGGACCATCTGCGGCAGGTCGCGGTCGGCTGGGCTCGGTACAGTCCCGGGCCCTGAGCTGGGGGCCCCTCCTCTGCCCGGGCCCCTGGCAGATGGCCCCGCCGACTTTACGGCATTCCGCTGTAAAAGAGACGGTCCCACAGACGCACCGCGACATCTGGAGCAGAGAGCAGCCAAGAAGATGGAGAGGAGAGGGGCAAGGAGGAAGAGGGCGAACCAGGTCTGGACCAGGTCTAAGCCAGGTCTGAAACAGGTCTGAAACAGATCTGGACCAGGTCTAAACCAGGTCTGAACCAGGTCTAAGCCAGGTCTGAAACAGCTCTGAAACAGGCCTGAAACAGGTCTAGGCCAGGTCAGAACCAGGTCGGAACCAGGTCTGAACCAGGTCTGAACCAGGTTTGGACCAGGTTTAAGCGAGGTCTGAACCAGGTCTAAAACCAGGTCTGAAACAGGTCTAGGCCAGGTCTGAGCCACGTCTAAGCCAGGTCTGAGCCAGGTCTGCGCCAGGTCTAAGCCAGGTCTAAGCCAGGTCTGAATCAGGTCTGAACCAGGTCTGAACCAGGTCTGAACCAGGGCTGAAACAGGTCTGAACCGGGACTAAATCAGGACTGGACCAGGTCCGAACCAGGTCTGAACCAAGTCTGGACCAGGACAGAACAAAGTCTGAAACCAGGACTGGACTGGGGATGAGCCAATATTCCTCCTTCTTTTTGTTAATGTTGAGCCTTAAACATGATCTTAAGAATTTTGACAATAGCTTTAATGCAGAACGCTGAGTGTAAGACATAGACACAAAGCTGAACACACAAGGAGTGAAACAAACAAGCTGCTTTTGTAATGACATGTCACTGAAGACACGGAATCATAAACATTTACATTTCAAGGGAATTTCAAGAGTCAAGTAAATCATTAACATATTTTCACTGCAAATTCTCACTTCAAACTAGATAAATACATTTTGGTTAAAATAGACTGGACCATGGCTCAGTCTATTTTAATCTCCTTCTAAAGCGCTCCGATGAAGAGGCGCAAGTTTGTTTTACATATGTTATTTTATGAGTTTATTTGAATAGGCACAGAACACATTCATCAGCCTAACTGTTAATGTGCCTGTATTAGCAATATAGCTAGCTAGAAACACCCACTCTGGGTGGAGCAGGACGGGTCAAAAGGTGGAGTAGCCGCATTCTCTGCTCTGGTCCAAAGTAAAGTGCTGAATGCTTCACTAAAAAATTCCAAATCATGTGTTTTATTAAATTGCATTTTTTGAGATAAACTAAATTGAAACTGAACTGAACCGTGTTTTTAGCATGTTTTTGAAAGTCCTGCAGTCTAGCGCTCCTTCGTATGTGACAGAGAAATCCCAGTTTGTTAAATGAAGCCAGGTTAATGGACTGGTCTGGGAACGCCTTGGGATTCCTCGGACGAGCAGGAGCAGGTGTGTCAGGACAGGGAGGTCTGGGGGTCTCCGCTAAGATTGCTGCCCCTGCGACCCAGTAACAGATAAAGCGGAAGAACATGGATGGATGGATGGATAATTTGATAAAGGAAAAATTTCATGAATAATTTGCTAAAATTCTGTTCTTTAAAGGTCTGTTTAGTTTTGAATGCTCTGGAAAACAGCTGCAAGTCCCAAGTAGCTCTAAAACAGTTTTTTGCTTTTGAATTTTTATTTTTATTGCTTTTTTCTGCCTGAGATGTTGCTGCAGTACAGTGTCCATGGTTTTACTCTGGTCCAGACCAGAGCAGAGAGGATTCATGGTCAGAACCAAGTGGATCAGGCCAAAATCCACTGGAGGAATGCTGACTTTTTAAAAAATGCTAATGAAGCATTTCGCTTTTGACTTTGGACCAGAGCACAGAAAATGGTTGGAACCAAGCGGCTACTCCACCTAGTGACCCGACCTGCTCCACCCAGAGGCTTCTCCACCTCTGCTGCTGTGACCCGTCCTGCTCCACCCAGAGGCTACTCCATCTGTGCTGCTGTGACCCATCCTGCTCCACCAAGAGGCTACTCCACCTTATGACCTGTCCTGCTCCACCCAGAGGCTACTCCACCTCTGCTGCTGTGACCCGTCCTGCTCCACCCAGAGGCTACTCCACCTCTGCTGCTGTGACCCGTCCTGCTCCACCCAGAGGCTACTCCACCTCTGCTGCTGTGACCCGTCCTGCTCCACCCAGAGGCTACTCCACCTCTGCTGCTGTGACCCGTCCTGCTCCACCCAGAGGCTACTCCACCTCTGCTGCTGTGACCGTCCTGCTCCACCCAGAGGCTACTCCACCTCTGCTGCTGTGACCCGTCCTGCTCCACCCAGAGGCTACTCCACCTCTGCTGCTGTGACCTGAAGGACTGTTGCTGATTATTACTATTTTTTACTTTTTAGAATGATACATTTTATTTTTGCTGCTACTGGACACCTGAATTTCTCTTACTGGGATCAATAAAGTATCTATCTATGTATCAAAAAAAATACAAGAAAAACTCTTTTGAGAGATCCAGATTCATGTAAAAAAAAAAAAAAAAAAAAAAAGGATCCCAAACTAATAATCTGAGGATAGAAGTGAAAGTACAGCTCATGTGTCTGGATCCCCCCTGCTCAGCTGCTCGTTCTGGATCAATTCAAAGCGTGTCTCGATTTGTGGACGGCTCGTGGGTGAACAGCAGGCCTCGTTCTGGTGCATTGTGGGATTGAACACTCTCAGCTGGGCTCATTCTAAAAACTATACGTCTTTCCAAAACATTTCAGCGAACATGGTGAGAATACTCTGTTGTCTTCTTTGTGTTTAAATGTTCTGTCATTTTGAACAAAAGTCAATGAACCAGTCTCCAGGATTAAAGCACAGGTCTGAACAAGGTCTGAACCAGGTCTGAACCAGGTCAAAACCAGGTCTAAACCAGCTCTAAACCAGGACTGAACCAGGTCTAAACCATGACTGAACCAAAACTGAACCCGGTCTGAACCAGGTCTGAACTAGGTCTAAACCAGGTCTAAACCAGGTCTAAACCAGGACTGGACCAGGTCTAAACCAGGACTGAACCAAAACTGAACCAGGTCTGAACCAGGTCTGAACCAGGACTGGATCAGGTCTGAACCAGGTCTAAACTGTATTTGAACTGGATCAAAACCAAGACTAAACCAGAACTTGACCAGGTCTAAACCATGACTGAACCAAAACTGAACCCGGTCTGAACCAGGTCTGAACTAGGTCTAAACCAGGTCTGTAACCAGGTCTAAACCAGGACTGGACCAGGTCTAAACCAGGACTGAACCAAAACTGAACCAGGTCTGAACCAGGTCTGAACCAGGACTGGACCAGGTCTGAACCAGCTCTGAACCAGCTCTGAACCAGGTCTAAACTGTATTTGAACTGGATCAAAACCAAGACTAAACCAGAACTTGACCAGGTCTAAACCATGACTGAACCAAAACTGAACCCGGTCTGAACCAGGTCTGAACTAGGTCTAAACCAGGTCTGTAACCAGGTCTAAACCAGGACTGGACCAGGTCTAAACCAGGACTGAACCAAAACTGAACCAGGTCTGAACCAGGTCTGAACCAGGACTGGACCAGGTCTGAACCAGCTCTGAACCAGCTCTGAACCAGGTCTAAACTGTATTTGAACTGGATCAAAACCAAGACTAAACCAGAACTTGACCAGGTCAGCCAGGTCTAACCCAAGTCTAAACCAGAACTATCCCAGGTCTGGACCAGGTCTGAACCGAACCAGATCTGAACCAAGTCTGAACTAGGACTGAACCAGGACTGGACTGGGGATGAGCCAGTTTGTTAAGCAGGTCTTAAGGAACAAATATTCTTTATTCATTGTTTTAATGTTGTGTCTTAAACATGATCTTGAGAATCTTGTCTTTGGCTTTAATGTAGAATGGTGAGTGTTAGATATTAAGCTGGACACAGTGTGAGAAAAAAACATATAATTATGTGTCTAAAGCCGCTCGGACACAGAAAGAAACTTTCTGGAGCTGGAGGCTTTTATACCTATGATGCAGACTGTAGATGATCCAAACACAGGGAGAACATGCAAACTCCATACAGAGCCAAACCAATGACCCTCTTGGCGTGAGGCATGTGCAGCCACTGTCATGTGAGCGTGGATAGAGCTAAAAACAACTATGGGTCTGATTTGGATGGAGGAACAATGTCGTAAGATGGTTGCCTCCTTAACAAAACAGATGTGTCCTTTAACTGGGGTAGTCTTGCAGAGTTTTTCCATACTTATCCCAAAAGGGGAATTCAATTGTAGTTATGCAGCCACTCTCACACAACAGTAAAAAAATATGTATATAAAAGTTACAATAATCAAGTAATCACAATAATAAAACATCCGTCAATGATTAGGTCGATCAAAGACAAAGGAGGAAGTGAACATTTTAGAAAGAGCGCCATTTTAGTTTAGAAGCATAATGGCAGAAAGATCAACAGACTGACTGTGTTCTGGCACCAAGGAGAGTTTAAGAATATGTCCTGTTTGGCTCTTGATTGGTTTGACCTTCTTCTCCCTGTTTCCTCCAGACTGAGCTCAAGTCCCTCGGTGGACCTCCAATAATTGTGGAGCAAATCTTGAAAATATTGTTCAGTTGTTATTTTTCATTGTTTTGTGGTTGGAAAAGTGGGGGCGGGTCCCGGCTCAAAAGTGGCCAAAATGACGGGCGCTGTCATGCTTGCAATACCACCCCGGGCCGATGGGGGGGGACCCAGAATGAGAATTAGCCAATGCTAACATATAGCATTGGCAGACCTCTCAAAAACGTCTTTACAGGATGGACCTAAAGTTGGCTCTTGGCCCAAAGCTCCGTTCCACATGTGTGTCAATGCTGAGGGGGGTGGATTGTTTTGGACCACTCTAGTTTACTTGCTGTGAATTTTGAAACTACCCATGGAGCACACAAGTTTTGGCACATTAGTTAGAACGGCGGAGATAGGCGTGACTATGTCTGTTAATATTTACAGTCTGTGGGTTGGAACTAAAAACAACTCTTGTCTTTGTTTTTGTAAATCAAAAAAAAAAAAAGCATTATTCTTGTCTTTATAAACAAGATATTGACTAGTGGCCATAGCTGTACAGGTGAAAGCCAGATCCTGTGAGACATTTGAATCTAAGCAGGGCAGGGCATGGTCAGCACTGTGATGGGAGACCTCTGAGAACACCAGGTGCTACAGTGCTTCATCCACATTGCCTAGAATGAGTCTGGTGTGAATGGTTGGTGGTGGTTGGAGGGATCAATGGCTGTTTTTTTGTTACATCCCTGACCCTATAGTAGAGCTGGGTCGTAATAAAAATTGGGGGATCGTAACAGTGTGCCCCAGGGCGGCTGTGGCTAAAGTAGTAGTTTATCACCAATGTGTATGTAGGAATGAATAATGACATATGAAGCATGTTTGAGTGTCCAAAAACCTGATGCATTATCATTTTTATCATTATTATCATTAACTTTGTTTCAGTGAAATGATTCCTGTCTGTCACTTTGTTCTGTTTCTGTTTCTCGCTGAATAAACGCAGTGGGACCGGAGCAGCGCAGCTCTCTGAATGAATAATGGATCGTTGGATTGGGTCCGGACAATTTTGGGGAGAGCGCTTCCAGGAGCGGGTCCCACTGCCCCTGGGACCGACCCGCGGATAATACCTGCTCTTTTGGGGTTGAGAAGACCGTTTTTAGAGCCACCGGAGGAAAATGGGCCACACCCACCCCCAAGGACGGTGCTCACAAATACTACAACGTACAACAACTAAACTACTACAAATGTACTACAACACACAGGATTAGGGGGACCGCGGACAGCGGTAACTAACCACTGTCACCACTTTTGGAGTTCAATATACGCGGCTGCCAGGGTCTCGATTTATTCTATGACTTTGCTTTTTCAAAGCAAATTTATTTTTTAGCACTATCCCAAAAAAAAAACTGGGTGGCTGCCGAGGAAAAGTGTGTTGCCAAAAGGGTAACACACACAATCATTGCATGTTGAGAGATGTGGAAGTTTTGGAGGTATGATGAACAAGGAACAAGAGCAAAAGTGCACAAATGGTGTCCTCCATGAGAATGGAGCGTCAGGACCGGAGCAGGTAGGGGGGGGGGGGGGTGGGCCCAACGAGCCCCCAGACCGGGCCGAAACCCAAGGACACACACACACACCGATAAGCACACACCCAAAATGCACACACCCACTCACCAACACACAACACACAGCACAGCACTAACGTAAATGGAGGCTGTTGTCCCCAAACATAGTGCGATCACTCTGGGGGGGGTCAATTAATGGATCGTTAATTGATAATTACATTTAATGTTAATTCATCTTTGCAGTAATAGAAACATGCACACACACACATACACACACTGACACAACACACCAGGTCTGAGCCAGGTCCGAAACAAGTCTAAACCAGGTCTGAACCCGATCTAAACTAGGTCTACACTAGGTCGGAACCATAGACTGAATATAATAACGACGTAGTCACGCCTATCTCCGCCGTTCGAACTAATGTGCCACAATATTGTGCGTCTCGCATGGAGTGATTAAAAATGGAGCTGGCATGCGTCAGCCGGCACGAGTTCCATTCATTCAAAACGATGACTTCAAAAAAGTCACAGCGACGAAACTAGACTGGTCCAAAAAAAATCTCGTGGAACGGAGCTTTGTCCAAAAGCCAACTTTGTGGAGCATCCGGAGGTTGACGTTTTTGAGAGGTCATAAGATACGTACATTAGCAGTGGCTAATTCTCATTAGTGTCCACCCCCTCTGCTCGGGTGGTATAAGCATGTCAGTGCATGTCATTTTGGCCACTTTTGAGCCGGACCCGACCCCCACTGGTCTGAACCAGGTCTAAACCATGTCCTGAACCCAGTCTAAACTAGGTCTGAACCAGGTCTGGACCAGGTCTGAACCAGGTCCTGAACCAGGTCTGAACCAGGTCTAAGCCAGCCACAGACACACACACAAACAAAGGCATACAAGCCCACAGACACACACACACTTGCACACGCGCACGCACAGGAACATGAAAGCCAATTACAAACTATATGAATAAGGATAAGAAAGTACCTAACAACACACATAGATACACACATATCTATAACTACGGATTTGCACAGGAAATAATCAAATTGTGTAAAAAAAAAAAAATGGGTCTCCCTGATCATAGCCGTAATTAGGATTGAGACAGAAGGGGCGGGGGACGTGTTTGCCCAGCATGGATGGAGCTGAACACAAACTGCAGGTCTGTCCTGATGAGGCCAGTCCTGAGTGCCGGGGACTCGTGTTTTGCCTGTCCTCGGACCATCTGCGGCAGGTCGCGGTCGGCTGGGCTCGGTACAGTCCCGGGCCCTGAGCTGGGGGCCCCTCCTCTGCCACGGGCCCCTGCAAGATGGCCCCGCCGACTTACGGCATTCCGCTGTAAAAGAGACGGTCCCACAGACGCACCCGCGAACATCTGGAGACAGAGAGCAGCCAAGAAGATGGAGAGGAGAGGGGCATAGGAGGAAGAGGGCGAACCAGGTCTGGACCAGGTCTAAAGCCAGGTCTGAAACAGGTCTGAAACAGATCGGGACCAGGTCTAAACCAGGTCTGAACCAGGTCTAAGCCAGTCTGAAACAGCTCTGAAACAGGCCTGAAACAGGTCTAGGCCAGCCAGAACCAGGTCGGAACCAGGTCTGAACCAGGTCTGAACCATGTTTGGACCAGGTTTAAGCGGGATGTAATGACATGTCACTGAAGACACGGAATCATAAACATTTACATTTCAAGGGAATTTCAAGAGTCAAGTAAATCATTAACATATTTTCACTGCAAATTCTCACTTCAAACTAGATAAATACATTTTGGTTAAAATAGACTGGACCATGGCTCAGTCTATTTTAATCTCCTTCTAAAGCGCTCCGATGAAGAGGCGCAAGTTTGTTTTACATATGTTATTTTATGAGTTTATTTGAATAGGCACAGAACACATTCATCAGCCTAACTGTTAATGTGCCTGTATTAGCAATATAGCTAGCTAGAAACACCCACTCTGGGTGGAGCAGGACGGGTCAAAAGGTGGAGTAGCCGCATTCTCTGCTCTGGTCCAAAGTAAAGTGCTGAATGCTTCACTAAAAAATTCCAAATCATGTGTTTTATTAAATTGCATTTTTTGAGATAAACTAAATTGAAACTGAACTGAACCGTGTTTTTAGCATGTTTTTGAAAGTCCTGCAGTCTAGCGCTCCTTCGTATGTGACAGAGAAATCCCAGTTTGTTAAATGAAGCCAGGTTAATGGACTGGTCTGGGAACGCCTTGGGATTCCCTCGGACGAGCAGGAGCAGGTGTGTCAGGACAGGGAGGTCTGGGGGTCTCCGCTAAGATTGCTGCCCCTGCGACCCAGTAACAGATAAAGCGGAAGAACATGGATGGATGGATGGATAATTTGATAAAGGAAAAATTTCATGAATAATTTGCTAAAATTCTGTTCTTTAAAGGTCTGTTTAGTTTTGAATGCTCTGGAAAACAGCTGCAAGTCCCAAGTAGCTCTAAAACAGTTTTTTTGCTTTTGAATTTTTATTTTTATTGCTTTTTTCTGCCTGAGATGTTGCTGCAGTACAGTGTCCATGGTTTTACTCTGGTCCAGACCAGAGCAGAGAGGATTCATGGTCAGAACCAAGTGGATCAGGCCAAAATCCACTGGAGGAATGCTGACTTTTTAAAAAATGCTAATGAAGCATTTCGCTTTTGACTTTGGACCAGAGCACAGAAAATGGTTGGAACCAAGCGGCTACTCCACCTAGTGACCCGACCTGCTCCACCCAGAGGCTTCTCCACCTCTGCTGCTGTGACCCGTCCTGCTCCACCCAGAGGCTACTCCATCTGTGCTGCTGTGACCCATCCTGCTCCACCAAGAGGCTACTCCACCTTATGACCTGTCCTGCTCCACCCAGAGGCTACTCCACCTCTGCTGCTGTGACCCGTCCTGCTCCACCCAGAGGCTACTCCACCTCTGCTGCTGTGACCCGTCCTGCTCCACCCAGAGGCTACTCCACCTCTGCTGCTGTGACCCGTCCTGCTCCACCCAGAGGCTACTCCACCTCTGCTGCTGTGACCCGTCCTGCTCCACCCAGAGGCTACTCCACCTCTGCTGCTGTGACCCGTCCTGCTCCACCCAGAGGCTACTCCACCTCTGCTGCTGTGACCCGTCCTGCTCCACCCAGAGGCTACTCCACCTCTGCTGCTGTGACCTGAAGGACTGTTGCTGATTATTACTATTTTTTACTTTTTAGAATGATACATTTTATTTTTGCTGCTACTGGACACCTGAATTTCTCTTACTGGGATCAATAAAGTATCTATCTATGTATCAAAAAAAATACAAGAAAAACTCTTTTGAGAGATCCAGATTCATGTAAAAAAAAAAAAAAAAAAAAAAAGGATCCCAAACTAATAATCTGAGGATAGAAGTGAAAGTACAGCTCATGTGTCTGGATCCCCCCTGCTCAGCTGCTCGTTCTGGATCAATTCAAAGCGTGTCTCGATTTGTGGACGGCTCGTGGGTGAACAGCAGGCCTCGTTCTGGTGCATTGTGGGATTGAACACTCTCAGCTGGGCTCATTCTAAAAACTATACGTCTTTCCAAAACATTTCAGCGAACATGGTGAGAATACTCTGTTGTCTTCTTTGTGTTTAAATGTTCTGTCATTTTGAACAAAAGTCAATGAACCAGTCTCCAGGATTAAAGCACAGGTCTGAACAAGGTCTGAACCAGGTCTGAACCAGGTCAAAACCAGGTCTAAACCAGCTCTAAACCAGGACTGAACCAGGTCTAAACCATGACTGAACCAAAACTGAACCCGGTCTGAACCAGGTCTGAACTAGGTCTAAACCAGGTCTAAACCAGGTCTAAACCAGGACTGGACCAGGTCTAAACCAGGACTGAACCAAAACTGAACCAGGTCTGAACCAGGTCTGAACCAGGACTGGATCAGGTCTGAACCAGGTCTAAACTGTATTTGAACTGGATCAAAACCAAGACTAAACCAGAACTTGACCAGGTCTAAACCATGACTGAACCAAAACTGAACCCGGTCTGAACCAGGTCTGAACTAGGTCTAAACCAGGTCTGTAACCAGGTCTAAACCAGGACTGGACCAGGTCTAAACCAGGACTGAACCAAAACTGAACCAGGTCTGAACCAGGTCTGAACCAGGACTGGACCAGGTCTGAACCAGCTCTGAACCAGCTCTGAACCAGGTCTAAACTGTATTTGAACTGGATCAAAACCAAGACTAAACCAGAACTTGACCAGGTCTAAACCATGACTGAACCAAAACTGAACCCGGTCTGAACCAGGTCTGAACTAGGTCTAAACCAGGTCTGTAACCAGGTCTAAACCAGGACTGGACCAGGTCTAAACCAGGACTGAACCAAAACTGAACCAGGTCTGAACCAGGTCTGAACCAGGACTGGACCAGGTCTGAACCAGCTCTGAACCAGCTCTGAACCAGGTCTAAACTGTATTTGAACTGGATCAAAACCAAGACTAAACCAGAACTTGACCAGGTCAGCCAGGTCTAACCCAAGTCTAAACCAGAACTATCCCAGGTCTGGACCAGGTCTGAACCGAACCAGATCTGAACCAAGTCTGAACTAGGACTGAACCAGGACTGGACTGGGGATGAGCCAGTTTGTTAAGCAGGTCTTAAGGAAAAAATATTCTTTATTCATTGTTTTAATGTTGTGTCTTAAACATGATCTTGAGAATCTTGTCTTTGGCTTTAATGTAGAATGGTGATGTGTTAGATATTAAGCTGGACACAGTGTGCAGAAAAAAACATATAATTATGTGTCTAAAGCCGCTCGGACACAGAAAGAAACTTTCTGGAGCTGGAGGCTTTTATACCTATGATGCAGACTGTAGATGATCCAAACACAGGGAGAACATGCAAACTCCATACAGAGCCAAACCAATGACCCTCTTGGCGTGAGGCATGTGCAGCCACTGTCATGTGAGCGTGGATAGAGCTAAAAACAACTATGGGTCTGATTTGGATGGAGGAACAATGTCGTAAGATGGTTGCCTCCTTAACAAAACAGATGTGTCCTTTAACTGGGGTAGTCTTGCAGAGTTTTTCCAATGTGGTTTTACTGCAAATGGCAAACAAATTCTTGTATCTTGTATCAATGGTGAATTAGAGGACTTTAATCTTATAGCGGCACATTGTGTTTTTATTGCAGCTACAACATTAAGAACAAATCAAGACATTCCATCTCTGAGTTCCCACACGCTGAGCCTCTCTTCTGGAGAATTGCCTCGAGGTCAGCGGTCAAGTTTGACTCTATTTTTAACCCAGTGTTTAGACTTTGTCGGTTTATGAGAAATCACAACAAGGAATTCTGCTGATGTTGGTGGAAGATTTAGTGATTCACTCCGATAGCAGGTTGAATACAAGAGCAGGTGTACAAGTGTACCCATGTCGAAAACAAACATATTACCTCCTTAAATGTGAATCAAATGAGACTGACCTAAAAGTACTGTACATATTCACCAGTCTTTCCCGCAGTGGCGCCCCCTATGGCTGAGCTCTTAATTGGACGTGGGGTTTAGATCCAGGGGCGATGACATGAGCCCCTGCAGGGACTGCCAGGAAACCCCTCCACCACCCCCACACCTGCGCCACGGGATCTCCCAGCATGCCCCTGGGCCACCCCAAATCCACAATGCTTGTAGCCCTGAGCCTGCATGTATACTGAGGCAAGAGTAGACATGATGTCCAGTGGCACAAATGTAAACTCAGTCCTGGACGGGGACACTCTTCATAGCAGCGGACTCTGATCTTCTCACATATCTTTCTCACATGAATATGGATATGCCACGCTTCTAACAGAGCCATAAACTCCTCCATTACCTATGATGCAATGGCCCCTCCTGGCTGGTTATGACCGCCTCGCACAGAGCTCCTCCTGACCCTGTTTCTTTATTGTCGCAGATTTACCAAGACAAATGCTGGACCTCTGAGTGAGAAGGTTTGTGTAGTCCAAGTGTAAATTTCATTCATCTGTAAATAAGTAAATTCTTAAATCATGTGCAATACTGCAAACTCGGAATGTCTACTGAACAATGTCACTTTACTTTATCTACGTAATATCCTGCTCTATATGTACTGTAAATAACTCTGCACTACTACATATATTAGTATATTTTTACTGGTATTGAAGCATTTTCAGCACCTACAGCTAGTTATGCTTGTTAAGAAACTTACTACTAATGTTGTATATTGTGTGTGCTCCCTGTGTGCTCTACTACTGTACTGTATGTGCGCTGCAACATTGAAATTTGCCCACTGTGAGACAAATAAAGGAGCTCTTATCTTATCTTAGTCCAGCTTCACACAAAATATGTGTATTTATGTTCTGAGCTATACAACAAGGTACAGCATGCCTACTTTGGCTACATGACACTGTGAACCTGTGTGTATGTCCTCATAGACTACTGTGTGCATTAGCAAGGCAGAGGGCCACATAGAATGACACAGAGGGCCGCAATTAGCCCGTGGGCCATGGTTTGGACATGCCAGCATTTTTGTGTTTAGGCTTGAATTTGACTCTGTGTGGACAGGGGGTTAGACTATGAAGACTATGACATCCTGAGAAGAGCAGTTTTATTTATCTTTAAACAAACATATTGCCTTTATAAATAATATCATTATAAGAAACAAGTAGAAAATCTTGTTGCTTCTACTACTTCACATTTTCCTCTTGCTGGATTTGTCCTGTTTTTCCATTCATTTTCTACTAAGGAACTTCACATTACACAACATGAAATGCCAAAGTGGATATTCTCAATAAAATCAGGGTCAAAATGATGTGTTTAGCAGAATAAACCATTTTTGAATAACATCACGTTTGAGTAAATAGGGGAGTCAAATCTCGGGCCCTCATTTCCATACATTAGCCTGATGCGTTTCCGTGGCGATACAAATAAAAGCACGGCGTGTTGTTGTGTGAGATTTACTGCGGCGGGGCGTGGATGTAAACGCTGGGATTAGAATAAAGCGCCAAATAAACGGCTCCATAAATCTGACTCTGCTGAAGCGAGGAGAGACTGGACTGCACACGGACTCACACACGCACAGGGCCTGGGCCAGAGCCGGGGGCCACCAGGGCTCAGTCCCAGCACCAGCCACGGCTTAGAATGATACATGTGGAACCAAACACTTGACCAGGTATAGATCGGAACATCTAGCCCTAGTGCAAGAATGATAAATGGTGCAGTATAGAACCACATTAGGGTTTAATCCCGGGAAACGTGCACGTCTATTGTTATCTTACCGTAACGTTGCATTCAGGGGCCTACGCAGCAGTATATACCGCCTAAGAATGTCTACTGCCAGCTTCTTATGGGAGTATTTTAAAAGACTTGAAAATGAAAACGTCAAGTGAATGTTGTGTGACCGGACTGCCAGGTGTTCTGGGGGGTCGACAAGTGGATTGCGCAGACATTAAGAATATCAGCAGAGTAAAGTTCCTGAAGAAAGCCCATCAACAAAACGTCTGAAAACGCTAGATGGCTACTTTAGCAAAACTAGCAAGTCGCTTGTTGACATACAAGCAGAGATGACAGCTTTTGATGGATTTAGTATACATCTTTGAGTGAACCACAACTAAAAAAAACAGCTATTTTTCCCGAAAATGAGATATATCAAATCCCGGGAAAAGACAACGCATTTGCCGGGATTTGATACATCTCATTTTCGGGAAAAATGTCAAACCCTAAACCACATGTGTCAGATATATACATGCAACTATACATTTATTGTACAAGAATATACATTATTTTATTGTTTCTTCTTCATTATGGTTAAGTCAGAGGTGTTATACTTGATTCTTATTTCTTTATTATGCTAAAGTCAGATATTTTATTTTATTTTAGCATAGAGCTACTGTTCATTAATCTTGCGTTGTGTGCCCCTCATGTCTACTGCTCTGTAACTGATGAAGCAACACTGAAATTTCCCCACTGTGGGACGAATGAAGGTTCTCTTAATCTTAATCTTAACAGAATCATACCAGGGATATAAAACTGGTCTAAACTATGAACCAATCAAGTATGAATTCTGTCCAATTCCAATCCAGCAATAATTCTGTACCGTCCCATAATCAATCCCTCTCTCATCCCGCTCTTCTATAGTAGTACATATAGTACAACATGGATGGAGATTGTACATGAAGTAAATATTCAAGCAAATAATCAACATGTATTTTGTTCCAACAGAAAGAGTCTTGGGAAAAGTAAAAATAGGGGAGCAAATTGGATCACAACATATTTTGTAAGAATATGTTGTGATATGAATATATTTTATAAGAAAGAGGCCTCACCAAAGAGTTAGCTACTTTGCTAGTCCTCGTTTCACTTTTCTGTCTGAAAATGCTGATGTAAAGATGTGAAAACCATGAGTGTAAAACTATTGGATCGTTTTAATTACATAGTTCCATTTTATCATTGTATATAGGAGGATTTTCCCAAATTTTAGGAAAGAAACGCCCTCTCCACATTTTCAACAACATTCTCTGATCTTTTTTGACGAGCACCAGAATGATTGACAATTGGGAGGACTAATAGTCTTGACGATCCACCCGGAAGTAAAATATCTTCCTATATACAGTATCTTTAGTTCTTCCATGTTAATCCTTTGCCGTCCCAGTCAAAAGATCAATCAGGGGAAAATTGTTCCCGAATCCTCCCCTTCCCACTTCCAACCACTGAAGAGACACATCCATTTAATGTGAAAGCCACGCAAATATCTAAATGTCCGACTTTAATTTATATTTTTACTTAATTTTTTTATTTGGAATATCACGTTGACTTACAGTGACTCCAATCTCTCTGGTCCTTTACAGTTCCTCACAGTTGTTCCCGTCTCATGCTGCGACATGTCTGTATGTGTTTGTTAGGAATGATGTCGTCGTCACCTCCCCTGCTCCATCACACACCCCTCTATAGGCGCCATTCCACCGAGCAATGCACCCTGGGTAAAGTCACACGCTATGGCGACGTTCCTCTAATCGACAAGAGACTAAAACTAACCGCAGGCCTTTGCAGACGGCAGACCAGTGTTGATGAGCTATATTAAAATGCAGCGTTGACCCGGGACAATAGTGGCCTTCAGTCCCTCAGTACCACTGGGGCCTCTAACAGGATCAGTTCAATTCGATTCAACACATGTTGTTTTTTTTAGTTAAATCACATCAGTAGTTATCTTCGTAGTTTTATTTTTGAATGCGCTGGAAAACGACAGCAAGTCCTAAGTAGCTCTGAAACAGTGGTTGTTTTGTGCTTCACAAGCTTTTTTTTTAATTTTCTAGCTTTTTTTACCTGCAATGTTGCTGCAGTACAGTGTTCATGGTTTTACACTGGTCCAGACCGGAGCAGAAGCGGATCAGGCCAAAATCCACCACTTTTTTTTAGATGCTAATGAAGCATTTAGCATTTTATCTTGGATTAGAGCAGAGAAAATGGTCCGAACCAAGGGGCTACTTCACCTTTGGACCCGTCCTGCTCCACCCAGAGGCTACTCCATCTCGGCTACTGTGACCCGTCCTGCTCCACCCAGAGGCTACTCCATCTCGGCTACTGTGACCCGTCCTGCTCCACCCAGAGGCTACTCCATCTCGGCTACTGTGACATGAAGGGCTGTTGCTGATTAGTACTATTGTTTTCTTTTTAGAATGATCAATTTTTAATTAAATTTTTCCTGCTACTGGATACCTGAATTTCTCCTACAGGGATGAATAAAGTATCTATCCATCTATCTCAGAGGACTTTACAAAACCGTTGAATTCTACAAAACAGATCAGAGAATCAAACCGTTCAAACACAAGAAATGCAATGGTAAAAACACATAGAGCTATTGGTCGATAAGGTCAACATGTTCCTAAATGTTGATGAAGTCCATAAATGTCGTTGAATGTTGATTTTCCTGGATCATCACCATCAACATATTTTACATGTTACACACAAACTGCGTCTGTGCTGAATTGGTAAACACAGTCACAAAAGCAAATCACACTACAGATAAACCTAAAAATCAGTCTCCACATTCCAGTTCAAGACTTTTTCAAAGTTCATTATAACTTTCCAGTTCACCAAACAATCTCAGAAAAGTTTTTAACTGTGTTTGTACAGTGTCTTTGGGTGTTTTGAACGGCGCTTTTGAATAAAATTGATTATTATTATTATTCATTATTGGAAAAGGGCGACGGTAGCTCAGTTGGTAGAGCATTGGTCTTAAGGCCAGAAGGTCGTGGGTTCAATTCCCACCTCTGCACCTTCTCCACCGACTCCCACTGATGACTGCTGTCGTTGTGTCCTTGGGCAAGACACTTAACCCCACTTTGCCCAAAGCCCCCACTGAAAGATCAAGGCTATGCTCACACTCAGAGAGCAGCCGTCCTCCTGTGGACTCACCACCTGCAGAGGATCAGTGAGGGGCTGGTGCTATGAGACTTGGGTGGCATCTCTGATTGCCACCCCCCTGACCCAGAAATGGATTAAAGGGTAGAAAATGGATGGAAAAGGATTTAAAAAGTTGGATTAAAATGCTTCAACTGAACAGGTCTTGGCAAAAAGACTAGATCCCATGGCGGGTGTGTCATTTTAGGAGTGTAATTTCAACACACCAACCTGTGTCATGTGTGTAAGAAAAACGCAACTTGTGCTTTTTGCTCAGTGGGAATGAGGCTTTAATTGCCCTCATTATAAAATAGCGATGTGGAAAAGTCTCTCTGTCTTACATGCATCCACCATCGGTTTGTTTTGATTCCATTGTAGTGGCATTTTCTCAGTACACATCGGTCAATAGGAGCGTAAAGATCGGCAGCAGCAGACTAATGCGAGGAATTCCAGGAGGAGCTGGGAGTGGATGAGACCAGTCCGAGTGTGAGCTTCCTAAAGATCGGTCCGGGTTTGAGATCAATGAGAGGTCAATGGCACAGAGTCAAGGGACTAACAAGAGCGGATACCGTTTATACACATGAGACTGGGGCTGCAGGGTAAAGCTGTACAATGGCTGCGCTTGAACAGAAATACCAACAAATTATCTTTAGAAAATACATTGTTAACATGTCCATAATGAATCCATCTGTTTTAATCCTCTATCAAAGGTAGATGGTGCTGAGACTTTACTTGAATCTCTAGGCGTCCCAGGCCAGCTGAGAGACCTCCCTCCAGCCTGTCTACCCCCAATCTCCTCTCAAATGTCCAGAAAATTGTTATCATCAACGAGCTCATTTCTCACTTTCTCACACATTCTTCATGTTCTGATCACTGTAAATGAGTTCATGAGCACTTTTCACACATTTCAGAGCAAAAGCACAGTTTGTCGTAGATGTAAGGTATTGTTGTCTATTGTGCAGACTGGATTTTTGCACAAATATTGGCAAATAAACGGAATCTGAATCTGAAGCCACATGTGCACAGTTGCGGCTTTCAAGCAATCTCAGAACCTTGAGATATTTCCCAAAAACAGAGCTTATGAGGAGCTGGTGACACACACATGTATTAGGGTTAACAACTGTACAAAAATATCCAGAAAGGTTCCAGGATTCACTTTGATCACTCAAATAATCAATCCCATATAATCTTAGACATTTATGGAAAAATGTCGTGGCCATAAATTCCCAAATTGTCCTTTTAGCTTAAAAATGTGTCTTTTGCAAAGTAAGTCTCTGTTTGTCTCTGTCCTTTCATCCAATCACACTGTGAAACTCGGGGATCATTGACCCAGCCCGAGTTTCCGAGTTTAATTTCCGAGCTGAGAAGCGTCCATTCCCATTTTTCTGAGTGGGAAATCAAAAATTCAGAGCTTCTGATTTTCCTGATGTAATGTCCAAAAAAAATCATATTTTTCATTGAAAGGTTTCTTAACTTCAGAAAGTGCTTTTATGCTGCTTGTTTTCTACAACTTCTGCAGTCTAGACACATATTTTTCATCTCACACACAAACAGTGTCTGTGCTAAAATTGGTATACACAGTCTCAAAAGCAAAACGCACTACAGAAAAACCTAAAAATCAGTCTCCAGATTCCAGTTCAAGACTGTTTCAAAGTTCATTATAACTTTCCAGTTGACCAAACAATCTCAGTAAAGTGCTCGACCCTCTCTGATGCCAGAACCACATAGAGCAGATTTGTTGGAGATATAAAAACCCAGCAGCAGAAAGTGTGGCTCTCTTACCGATCGATGATGACCGGGTCTGACGGCGTCTCATTCCGATTCCCACAGCTTTTTTTATCACAACACCGGCTGCAAAAGACACACAAGACACAAACAAAGTGAGACATTGTTGTTGTTACCAGTTGCTTCTTCTGGTTTTACTTTTAATGGAATTATTGATGTTTTAAAGGTTATATTCCACCTTCGGGTCATTGTTAAGAATTCCTCAAAAGACACATATTGAAGTTAATACTTTTGGAGCGTTTATATGAAAAAGATGGGATTTCTAGTCTGAGTAAAGCAGTGGTAAAAAGTGTAAAGTGTAAAATGTTCCGTGTCTGTGGGGTGTGTGGTGTAGTGTGTTGTGTAGTGTTGTGTGGTGTGTAGCGCAGTGTGGTGTGTAGTGCTGTGTGTTGTGTAGTGCTGTGTGGTGTGTGTTGTGTAGTGCTGTGTGGTGTGTAGTGCTGTGTGGTGTGTGTTGTGTAGTGCTGTGTGGTGTGTAGTGCTGTGTGGTGTGTGTTGTGTAGTGCTGTGTGGTGTGTAGTGCAGTGTGTTGTGTAGTGCTGTGTGGTGTGTGTTGTGTAGTGCTGTGTGGTGTGTAGTGCTGTGTGGTGTGTAGTGGTGTGTAGTGCAGTGTGTTGTGTAGTGCTGTGTGGTGCAGTGTGTTGTGTAGTGTTGTGTGGTGTGTAGTGCTGTGTGTTGTGTAGTGCTGTGTGGTGTGTGTTGTGTAGTGCTGTGTGGTGTGTAGTGCTGTGTGGTGTGTGTTGTGTAGTGCTGTGTGGTGTGTAGTGCAGTGTGTTGTGTAGTGCTGTGTGGTGTGTGTTGTGTAGTGCTGTGTGGTGTGTAGTGCTGTGTGGTGTGTGTTGTGTAGTGCTGTGTGGTGTGTAGTGCTGTGTGGTGTGTAGTGCAGTGTGTTGTGTAGTGCTGTGTGGTGCAGTGTGTTGTGTAGTGCTGTGTGGTGTGTAGTGCAGTGTGTTGTGTAGTGCTGTGTGGTGTGTGGTGCAGTGTGTTGTGTAGTGCTGTGTGTTGTGTAGTGCTGTGTGGTGTGTAGCGCAGTGTGGTGTGTAGTGCAGTGTGTGTGGTGCTGTGTGTTGTGTAGCGCTGTGTGGTGTGTAGTGCTGTGTGGTGTGTAGTGCTGTGTGGTGTGTAGTACTGTGTGTTGTGTAGTGCTGTGTGTTGTGTAGTGCTGTGCGGTGTGTAGTGCAGTGTGTTGTGTAGTGCTGTGTGGTGTGTAGTGCAGTGTGTTGTGTAGTGCAGTGTGTTGTGTAGTGCTGTGTGGTGTGTAGTGCTGTGTGGTGTGTAGTGCTGTGTGTTGTGTAGTGTTGTGTGGTGTGTAGTGCTGTGTGTTGTGTAGTGCTGTGTGGTGTGTGTTGTGTAAGATAAGTGCTTACTGACTTCCTGACGGACAGGAAGCAGCGAGTGCGTCTGGGGAAGAATGTCTCGGACTCTCGGATTATAAATACAGGAGCCCCACAGGGCTGTGTTCTTTCTCCCCTGCTCTTCTCCCTGTACACCAACCACTGCACCTCCAGCCACGACTCCGTGAAGCTGATCAAGTTCGCGGACGACACCACCCTCATTGGACTCATCTCCAACAACGATGAGTCCGCCTACAGGAGGGAGGTGGACCGGCTGGTGTCCTGGTGCAGTGGTAACAACCTGGAGCTGAACGCCCAGAAGACAGTGGAGATGATTGTGGACTTCAGGAAGAGCACAGCCCCCCCCACCCCCCACCCTCCGTGATGGACTCCCCCATCACCTCTGTGGAGTCCTTCCGTTTCCTGGGCACCACCATCACCCAGGACCTCAAGTCTCTTTTTGACTGTTGCACTGAGCCAAAGCAATTTCCTAGTCTGTGACTTCCTGTTACTTACGTGGCAATAAAAATGATTCTGATTCTGGTGTGTAGTGCTGTGTGGTGTGTGTTGTGTAGTGCTGTGTGGTGTGTAGTGCAGTGTGTTGTGTAGTGCTGTGTGGTGTGTGTTGTGTAGTGCTGTGTGGTGTGTAGTGCTGTGTGGTGTGTGTTGTGCAGTGCTGTGTGGTGTGTAGTGCTGTGTGTTGTGTAGTGCTGTGTGGTGTGTAGTGCAGTGTGTTGTGTAGTGCTGTGTGGTGTGTGGTGCAGTGTGTTGTGTAGTGCTGTGTGGTGTGTAGTGCTGTGTGGTGTGTGTTGTGTAGTGCTGTGTGGTGTGTAGCGCAGTGTGGTGTGTAGTGCAGTGTGTGTGGTGCTGTGTGTTGTGTAGCACTGTGTGGTGTGTAGTGCTGTGTGGTGTGTAGTGCTGTGTGTAGTGCTGTGTGTTGTGTAGTGCTGTGTGTTGTGTTGTGCAGTGTGTTGTGTAGTGCTGTGTGGTGTGTAGTGCAGTGTGTTGTGTAGTGCAGTGTGTTGTGTAGTGCTGTGTGGTGTGTAGTGCTGTGTGGTGTGTAGTGCTGTGTGGTGTGTAGTGCTGTGTGTAGTGCTCTGTGGTGTGTAGTGCAGTGTGTTGTGTAGTGCAGTGTGTTGTGTAGTGCTGTGTGGTGTGTAGTGCTGTGTGGTGTGTAGTGCTGTGTGGTGTGTAGTGCTGTGTGTAGTGCTCTGTGGTGTGTAGTGCAGTGTGTTGTGTAGTGCTGTGTGGTGTAGTGTGTTGTGTAGTGCTGTGTGGTGTGTAGTGCTGTGTGGTGTGTGTTGTGTAGTGCTGTGTGGTGTGTAGCGCAGTGTGGTGTGTAGTGCAGTGTGTGTGGTGCTGTGTGTTGTGTAGCGCTTTGTGGTGTGTAGTGCTGTGTGGTGTGTAGTGCAGTGTGTTGTGTAGTGCTGTGTGGTGTGTAGTGCTGTGTGGTGTGTAGTGCTGTGTGGTGTGTAGTGCAGTGTGTTGTGTAGTGCTGTGTGTAGTGCTCTGTGGTGTGTAGTGCAGTGTGTTGTGTAGTGCTGTGTGTAGTGCTCTATGGTGTGTAGTGCAGTTATGTGACCCTGTGAGTGTGAGGTGTGAGAGCGCAGGGGTCCAGCTGGGACCAGTCCAGTCCAAGGTCAGGACTTTGGACCCACACCAAGACCTGTGCCTGGCCAAAAAGAGGATTATCCAGGTAAGAGGGCCAACGGGTTTAAACACAGACCATTCAAAAGAAAAATCTGAAATGTTTAACGGCTACGGAGGCAAAGTTAATTTAAAGTTAGTATTATTAGTATTATTATAGTTGTTGACTCTCAATCCATCATAATTGCACCGTCAAATATGTATGTTATTGGTTTTATTCATTACTCCATGAAACCGGCACCATTTGAGATTCAACATTATGAAGATAAATACCTTAAAACACCCAAAACACATTTTGCAACATGTGGGACCAAGTGAATACATTTTCAACATTAGAATTTGCAAGAAAAGTATATATATATTTTTTTCAAACTGGAACGCTCTTTCTTTTTCTCTGCGGTTTCTGTTGACTGATTCAAAGTCATCTTAAATTTGTTTTTTGTGGGCTTTTGCTTGATTTTCTTGCAGTTGTTTTAATCTTTTTATTTTGTACGCACATCTTTAATTTTATTTTAACTTGTATTGTCTCGGCTTTTACTGTGAAGCGCTTTGTGGCCTTGGTCTGTATGATTCTGATTCTGGTGTGTAGTGGTGTCTGTGTGGTGTGTGTTGTGTAGTGCTGTGTGGATGTGTAGTTGCAGTGTTGTTGTGTAAAGTGCTGTGTGGCTGGTTGTGTTGTGTATGTTGCTGTGTGGTGTGTAGTGCTGTGTGGTGTGTGTTGTGTCAGTGCGGGTGTGGTGCTGTAGTGCTGTGTGTTGGTGCTCAGTGCGGTGTGGTGGGTAGTGCAGTGTTTTGTGTAGTGCTGTGTGGTGTGTGGAGGTGTGTGTGTGTGCTGTGTGGGTGTGAGTGCTGTGTGGTGTGGGTGTGTGTAGTGTGTGTGGTGTGTAGGCAGTGTGTGTGTGTGCGTGTGTGTGGTGCTGTGTGTGTGTAGTGTGTGTGTGTAGCTGTGTGGTGTGTGTGTGTGTGTGAGTGTGTGTGTGTAGGTGATGTGTGTGTGTTGTGCAGGTGTGTTGTGTAGGTGCTGGTGTGGTGTGTAGTGCGGTGGGTGTGTGTAGTGCAGTGTGGTGTGTAGTGCTGTGTGGTGTGTAGTGCTGTGTGGTGTGTAGTGTGTGTGGTGTGTAGTGCTGTGTGTGAGTGCTGTGTGGTGTGTGAGCAGTGTGTGTGTGTGTGCAGTGTGTTGTGTAGTGCTGTGTGGTGTGGTAGTGCATTGTGTGTGTGTAGTGCTGTGTGTGTGTGTAGTGCTGTGTGTGTGCTCTGTGGTGTGGTAGTGCAGTGCTGTGTGTGTGGTAGCTGTGTGGTGTAGTGTGTTGTGTGTTAGTGCTGTGTGGTGCTGTAGTGCTGTGTGGTGTGTGTGTGTAGTGCTGTGTGTGTGTAGGCAGTGTGGTGTCGTAGTGCAGTGGTGTGGTGCTGTGTGTTGTGTAGCGCTTTGTGGTGTGTAGTGCTGTGGTGTGTGTAGTTTGCAGTGTGTTGTGTAGTGGCTGTGTGGTGTGTAGTGCTGTGTGGTGTGTAGTGCTGTGCTGTGTGTGTAGTGCAGTGTGTGTGTGTAGTGCTGTGTGTTAGTGCTTCTGTGGTGTGTAGTGCAGTGATGTTGTGTTAGTGCGTTGTGTGTAGTGCTCTATTGGTGTGTAGGTGCATGTTATGTGATCCCTGGTGAGTGTGAGGTGGTGAGAGCGCGGGGTCCAGCTGGGGTACCAGGTCCCAAGTCCCAAGAGTTCAGGACTTTGGACCCACACCAAGGACCTGTGCCTGGCCAAAAAGAGGATTAATCCAGGTAAGGAGGGGCCAACGGGTTTATAACCACAGGGGGACCATTCAAGAGAAATAATCTGTAAATTGTATTAACGGCTACGGAGGCAAAGTTTAATTTAAAGTTAGTATTATTAGTATTATTCGAGTTGTTGACTCTCAATCTCCATCATAATTGCAACTCGTCAAATATGGATGTTTATTGGTTTTAAATTCATTACTCCATGAAACCGGCACCATTTTTGAGATTCAACATTATGGAGAAAAATTACCTTAAAACCACCCAAAACACATTTTGCAAACATGTGGGGAACCAAGTGAATACATTTTCCACAACAT